TCCATATGGCAATCATTCAACAATGAGCTCTGATAGAAATTGTACTTTGCTTTATAAAATGGTATACACTTTTAGTTTTGCACCCACTTTTTTCATCATAGTTTTATTTAAAGACGTGCAAAATTAAAAATATCAGAGGGAGTAATTTTTTTCTCTACTAGGAGTTCAAATTATACACACTACGTTTACTAATAGACCATACCTATGTATCATAACCAAAGTTAAGAAGGAAAAAGAACAAGAGAAAGGATCAAATGTAACAAGAAAGGTTGATTGCTGAGTTATCACTTTGACATACCATTTTATAAATTCAGTTCACAAATACAACTGAAATGCTTTCATAGAAACTAAGCACCAGAAAGAACCACATTAAAGTAAAGATGAAACAATTGAACATCAATATTCAAAGTTGTTCGTTGCCACGGATAAGAGAACGCTAAAGGGAAACTCAAAACACAGTAGAAAGGAAATAAAAAGAAGCAGCTTCTCCCAATAAAAACAACCAGGAAGAAGTCAAATAATAATCTGAGGACCAGTTTCCTCACTGTTGTTCATTGTCGGGTTTGGTTTCCTTAATTTCATCAGCACCATCATCCTGCAATCGGGACAGGTGTATCAAACACGTGACTCGAGTTATACAACTGATAGATTACAAGGAAACAACATAAATCAAAAGCTATTTAGAACAACAACTGAGTTAATTACCTGCATATCAGAGGTCCAGAGAGTGAGATTGTCACGAAGAAGTTGCATGATCAAAGTGCTATCCTTGTAAGATTCTTCTCCCAGTGTGTCCAACTCGGCAATTGCTTCATCAAATGCCTGGCCACGCAAAAGATAACAAAATGAAAATGAAGGTACTTTTTCACAGTCGAGATGAAAAAAAGAGATATTAATTTATCTATGCCTAATGAAACGCCCTTGTTTGAACTGAAAAACATAATTTGCAACTAAGAAATGACTGGGCCATATGAAGAAATTCTTACTTGTTTAGCAAGATTGCAAGCACGATCAGGAGAGTTCAAAATCTCATAATAAAACACAGAGAAGTTGAGAGCCAGTCCAAGTCGGATTGGATGTGTTGGGGCAAGTTCAGTATTTGCAATATCCTGCAGGCATTGAGACCAAAATGAGGACACATAAAGATCAACAACGTTTAACATCAAGAGGGAAAGAAATTTTCTTGGCTACTTTTTCGCGAAAGAATAACAGTTAACTTTTGTCGAGTAAGATAGAGTGAAACAAACAAGTCGCATGAACTTAAAAGGAGAAAAACAAGAGGTATAAAGCTTAAATTCATATATAATACTACTGCTTAAAACAAGTACTTGTCATAATTTATAGTACTACTAATTAACTGAGGATCACCTCTGACCTTTTGAAATTCCATATTATTTCATTTGGCCTTTGTTTTGAGGTAAAAAAGGGTTCTTTATCCAATTCACAATGGGATATTATTTCTTTGATCCAAAAGGTTGAGGGAAGTAAATTAACATACTCTTAATTCAAACCTAAATCTAAACTTAATTAACATCAGATCTCTGGGAACATGGAAACAATAAATATGGTCTGATCTAGAAAGACATATATTCAACACTGCTGCTTAAAATGTTTATGACTAATTAATCGAGGATCATTTGTGACCTTTTGAAAATTCTGTATCCAATTCCAAATGTTCAAAGAATTAAATCAATTTACTCTTAATTCAAGACATAATTAACATCATATTTCTGAAAAATATGTCCTGATCTGGACAAACATATATTCCCTTCATCTCAAATTGTTGGGAACTTTCTTTTGAAGGTGGTACACACCCCTAAAGATACTTATGATTTGTTAGACATATTTAAGCTTATGTATCAAAAGATCGTAAACAACCTCTCTACGTCCCAATTAAGACGAGAGACCATCGTGAATGGAAAATTTGAAATAACCAATTGTGATTTGTGTCTGGTCAAAACAAGAAATTGTTTCCACAGTCTTCTCCCTATAATCTCACCTAATTTACATATTTTAAAATTTAGATAAAAATCCGATTAAGAAAATCATATTATGCAGATATTATTAACAAATTGCCTAACAGATCCATGAATCTTCATCATTTCATCTAATAGATCAAACACATAAGAATAAATATGGTATACCTGAGCAGCTTTGTAGGCAGAGAGAGTGCTCTCAGCAGCTTCCTTACGTTCAGCTCCGGTCTTAAATTCAGCCAAATAACGATGATAATCACCCTTCATTTTAAGGTAAAACACCTTAGAATCGCCATTAGAAGCTGAAGGAATGAGATTAGAATCAAGGAGCTTGAGAATTCCATCACAAATATTAGAAAGTTCAGATTCAATCTTAGATCTGTACTCCTTTATACATTTAACATGTTCCTCATTTCCCCTCGACTCCTCCTTCTGTTCAATGGAAGAGATAATACGCCACGAGGCTCTACGAGCCCCGATAACGTTTTTGTAAGCAACGGAAAGGAGATTCCGTTCCTCAACGGTGAGTTCCTCTGACCCTAATGAAGTTGAAACTTTCTCCATGAACTGCACCATTTCTTCGTATCTTTCAGCTTGCTCAGCAAGCTTCGCCATGTACACATTCTCCTCACGCGCCATAATGGATTCAGTATTTGGGATCTCTTTTTGTTTAATGTTGTGTTGAAATGGATTTTTTTTTTTTGAGATCTGAGAAAAGTTTGTGTGCGTTGAGAGGATTTAAAACTATGTGAGAACAAGGGGAATTTGTTGTTTGGAATTTTTTATTGGTGTTGAAATTAAGGGGATGGGAGAGATTTTAGGATTAAAAAAAAAAATAAAAAAAAATTGTGAGGATGAATATGAGCCGTTGGATTATGGAATTTTTTGGAAAAGTAAGTAATTGACAACTGGATTTTTGGAAGATGTGAGTGTACGGATATGGGCAAAGAGATATTTGGGTCGAAATTGGTTACGTGGGTTATCACGTCTTTTTTTAATTGTTCCTAATTAGTTACTCCCTCCGTCCCTATTTACTTGTCCATATTTCCTTTTTTAGTTGTCCCTATTTAGTTGTCCATTTTGACAAATCAAGAAAGGATAACAAATTTTTTCCTATTATACCCTTATTTACACTTCTTGAAAATTGTAAAAGTGTATGTTGTTTCCCTCCAATTTATTTCACTTTAATTCAAATAAGTGGTTGTAATTTTGAAGTGAAAAGTTGTCATAAGGATAAAATTGTAACTTCACTGTGTTAATCATTGTTGCCTTAATCTGTGTGCCATTTCTAAAGTGGACAACTAAAAAGGGACGGAGGGAGTATTTATTTTGATAAATTAAGAAAAAACATTTTTTTTTACATATTATATCCTCAATTATTGATTTCTTAATATGTGTGTTAATTCAAAAGTGAACAAGTAATTAGGGACGTTATTACATATATTTTTAAAATGTTATGAGTCTTTTCATAAATTAAATTGTTTTAAGATATATGTAGTTTTGCTATTAGATACACTAAAATAAGGAGAGATGCAAGTTAGGTAGAAAGGGAGGCGAGCGAATTTGTTATACATGTATTGAGTATTTAATATGATTCATTTATATCTGAAATATTAGATACATAAGAGAGTGGCCAACGAAATTTTCTATATAACTAAGATACATGTGAATCGACTTGTTTGGTTCGTATGTGATCCGTCGATCTGATATTTAATAAATGTCGGGTCAATGGATACAATCATGATACGTGTATGTCCGTTAGTATAACGGGTATATATGTTTTAGTTTTTCGATAGCAGAGACACCAATGTCCTAAAAATATGACGAAGGATATTTGCATATTATTTATGATAGTTCGGAGATATATTTATTTATTTTCCCAACAAGTTGACAAGAGGGTTCAAAATTCTACTGGGGGAGGCGGACTATAATGTAAACTGTAGGTTCACAAAATCAGTACGTATCTTCTGTTCAAACTTCATACATGTATGAAATCAAGGATGGCTGATCAAGCCATTGACTTTAGTTTCATATATAAGTTTCATGTCTCATTCGTCAATTCTTGTAAATCAAATCATTTAAATGATGAGATCGAATCTTTATGCTCAAAATCACGATTTAAATAGTCACTCATTTGATATCATCTAGAGGTGGAAACTGCCATTCTAATTCTTATGAATTTAATATTTTAAAAATAAGATATGTTATTTAATATTACAAATAAAATAAACAAATAACTATATAATTAAACATACCTCTATCATATATACTATTATTAGCTATACTTTGAAAATATTACACATTTTATCACTAATTAAGAATTTTCTATCACATACTAAGAAAAATATATCTAGATATATGTATTTTTACTATCAGATACACTAAAAAATATGGAGAGAGGTGACCAAATAGGGAGGGATGTGATGGAGATTTGTTATGTATCCCAGATAAATGAGAATCATACTAGATACATGTATCTGTGTATATCTTGTGTGATTTACATGTATCTGGGATACCAAATACATAAGAGAGTAGCGAGCGAGATGAGAGGGAGGTGAGCGAGATTTGTTACGTATCCCAGATACATGTGAATCCATTTAGACGATATAATGTATCTAAAACAAATTACATCCTAATTTTGATTCCACGTATTCTGAAATATATGTATCTGACGTATTTGGATATACTAAAATCTAGTAAAATTCGTAATATTGTAAACTAGATTGTACTGAATAAATAGCTCCTAGTGAAATTTATACAATAAAATAAAAATATATTTATGTATTATTTAAAGTCTTTATTTGATTGTCTACTTTATTAGACATAGACATCCGAACTTTTTATTATTACGTGGCTAATTTTCAATTTCCACGCTGATATTAGTGAAAACTTTATCTGCACCCAAAAAAAACGTTTTCTTGTCTTCTTTTGGGTCAGTGTTAAGTCTCAATTTTTCCAAATTATTTTTAGTATGAAATTGCAAGTCAAAGGAAAAAAAATTGCTTCTTTTGTGAATTATGATTTCTGAAAAATCTTGAAATCCCTCTTTTTCTGTGTTTTTTTTTTTTTGTTATTATGATGGAGGGTTATGAGTTTGTGAAGGATTTGGGTTGTGGTAATTTTGGAGTAGCTAAGCTTGTGAGAGATTATAAGACTAAAGAGCTCTTTGCTGTCAAGTTCTTTGAAAGAGGCCAAAAGGTCAGCAAAATTTAATGATTTTAGTCATTTATTTGTTTGTTTTTGGATAATGATTTTATGTGATATTTCAGATTGATGAACATGTACAAAGGGAAATTATGAATCATAGATCATTGAGTCATCCAAATATAATCAGATTCAAAGAGGTAGAGAGTTTGTCTCTTACTCTTGCTAATCTTTTATTCTTCCTTATTAGTTAAGTAACTGCTCGTTTCGTTTTAATTTGTTTGTCTATCTCTTTTTAGTCCTTTCGGTCCGTTTCAAAATATATTATTTTTTAGTAACTCTTTAAAATGTTTATGACACTAGATTAAAAGCATTTTGGTATATAGTTTCTTAAACTTCGTATCAAGTTAACAGGACAATCAAATTGAAATGAGGGAGTATATTGTTGATTCCTCGGGGAATTCTAGATATATATACTCTGTTGCTATGAAAGTGGCTTTCTTTTTTTTACCCGTCCCTAAAAGTGCTCTCTTTTTTTGACTCGAACCCACACCCTTACCATTGGATAGAGGGTGCTTAACATTCGAGCAATGTCCTACGAAAGTGGCTTGATTAAGGTACTTGTAGTTTTAAAGTTGTCTAACCATGTAATCATATTTCTTTTCTTTTTTGTCATAGCAATCTTGTCTTCCTTCTTTCTCTCTTTCCCCTTTTTTTTTTTTGAAGAAATGGCATTGTTGTTCTTGTTTTTATTCTTTTGTTGCAATTTGTGTGACACATTTTTCTTTGTAGTCCGTTCCAAAAAAATGACACGCTTGTGGAGTTGAAAGCAATTAACTTTGCACTTTCTATTTGCCTGTAATGAGAAAGTTGTATAACCACATAAATATTATGACATGTTTGAGACATAAGTTTCAAAAGTTTTATGGTCACACAAATGGTATGACAAGTTTAAGATCACTAGATTAAAAGATCTTCATTTTTGTCCCTTGTCGATTCAAACTATGTCACATAAATTGGAACGAATGGAGTAATTATTTTTAGGGGGTTAATACTGAGTTGTACGTTAGTTCTGCCTCTGCTTTGAAGGACTCTGCATCTTGCAATTACCAAAATGCAACGTTTTGATTCTTATGGAAATGAATTTATCGATCCTTTTGATTTATTTTGTGCTGGCATTCCTTATGTCTTCTAACAGTAGGCTCAACGAACTCGAGTGAAATGAAGTAAAACATGTAGTTAAGCATCACGTACGTATGATTTCAATTATGTTTATGGCTTTTTGAATTAATGGACTCACCTCGACCAGGTTTTGCTGACGCCAACTCATCTAGCAATAGTAATGGAGTATGCGGCAGGAGGAGAACTCTTTCAGAGGATCTGTAAAGCTGGAAGATTTAATGAAAACGAGGTAATAAACGATAATTAAAGTGTGATTCTTCCCGCTTATGACTTGGCTAGATCAAAATTTACATTTTACAGATTTCTATTGATTATTATTTACTTCTGACAAACAACTCAGTGTGTGTTGTGTGTGCGTGTGTGGGGGAGTGTCATTCTTCTAATTTACCCGTCTTCATTGCACATCCACGTCCCTTTTCGTATAGATACTCCATAGAGTACTACGTGTTGACGTAGTTATGGAGGCAGAATGTAAATGCTCTTCACTGGAAACATGGATTACAAACTTCCGAGTACTAATGACATATCAAATGTTGAAATCAAAACTTGTTATGCCTTGAAAGTTCTCATGTTTTGAGTTCATTATTCACGATGTTTGTATGTGTGTGTGCATGTGGACATTTTAATTTGGTTATTTATTTTATTTTTGGTCAGGCAAGATTCTTCTTTCAACAATTGATATCAGGGGTTAGCTACTGCCATTTCATGGTAAAACATTGATATTAATTTCTCACACTTTCAAGTTTCGTTTCGTTTTTGTTTTTCTTAGACCTGTTATGCTAATTGCTTTTTGGTTGCAGCAAATCTGTCATAGAGATCTCAAATTGGAAAATACGTTACTAGACGGAAGTACTGCACCTCGCGTAAAAATATGTGATTTTGGTTACTCCAAGGTCAATATAATCTTTTGTCATACCTTAATTCTAACTACAATTTTAGATTTTCGTTGAGCTCGTGTAACAGACTTCACTTGTCTGCAGTCATCTGTCTTTCATTCTCAACCAAAATCCACTGTAGGGACACCAGCTTATGTTGCGCCGGAGATTTTATCAAAGAAAGAATATGACGGGAAGGTACTAGTCGTTTCATGTTCTCGTGACAGCAGTTCCACAATGGTAATATCATTTAACCTCTTTTTCCCTCTTGTTAATTATTGAGTTCATAGGTTGCAGATGTTTGGTCTTGTGGAGTCACTTTATACGTAATGCTGGTCGGAGCTTATCCATTTGAAGATCCCACTGATCCGAAAAACATCAGAAAGACCATATCTGTGAGTATATGAAAAAACAATCACTTCTTTTATATATATAAAGTCAAACTTGCTTTAACTTATAAAAAGAGGAAAAATACATGTTATAAATCGATTTAATGCACCATTCTGATTGAGTTTAATCCTTCGTAACAGAGAATATTGAGCGTCCAGTACTCGATTCCGCAAAATGTCCAAATTTCCATGGAGTGTCAGCATCTCTTATCCAGGATTTTTGTGGCAGACCCTGAAAAGGTAATACTATAATACTCTTCTGCCAAAAAAAGGTATTATATCATCATAAATCCTGTACGTGAATTGTTGTTTGGGTTTGAGTGACATGATCAGTCGATCTCGAATCACATATTTACCTCATCATATCAACAGAGACGAATCTAGGATTTGAAATTTTTGACTTTCTTTCAACGACATCAAGTTAATATAGTGAGTTCACAACCATATATTTATAGATATTTAGCGAATTCAGGCAAAAGTTATTCACGTGAACCAGGGGCGGCTGATAAGGGTTAAAAAAAAGTCATTGGCCTTAGGCCCCCAATTTTAGGGGGGCCCATTTTTTAGTTAATTAGGTAGGATTAAACTAAAAAAATAAAATTAGAACTAAGATAATAAATGCAAACGACATTAATAAAGTGATAGATATGACAATTACTTTTTACCTTTTCAATAAAAAGTTAGTTATCTCTTTTTTTTTTTTTTTACCTTATTTATTTTTTAATTTTATTTTTATATATTCTATCCTCCTCTCTTCCTATCTTCTATTTTTTCTATCTCTCTTATTCAAAGTTTAAGAATTTACTTGTTCTATTGATAGTTTATATTTTAAATTTATAATTTTTTAATTTTTTTTTTAAGGCCTCCAATTTGATTTTAGCCTTAGGCCACCAACGGGTTTGAGCCGCCCCTGACGTGAACCCACATATTACATTGTAAATATGCCTCTGCATCTTAGTATTTCGTATCGATAATCACAGTCGTCCTAGGCATTTCAAGTTTTCATTTCACTACATTATACTTGGAAGGAAGGAGTGGAGGTCGCGTATTAGGGTAGAAACTTAGTAGGGGTAGAGTGTTGTCTTGCCTTGCGAAGGTTCCTTGTAGTTATTGTCATATGTTGTTTATTGTGTTTTGATAATCACACTATTTGCTATTGTTACTCATGTTCTTCCTTATAAACATTGCACTACTTTTCTTGTTAACTGCTATGCTTCTTCATTGTTTTCGTCTTTTGTGCTCGAGTTTGATGTACCTAACCCGAGGATCAATCAGAAACAACCTCTCTACCTTCACGAGGTAGTGGTAAGATATGCACACTCTACCCTCCCCAAACCTCACTTAGTGGGATTTCACTGGGTATGTTGTATGCTTGGACATGCCTCCATGTGTAATATTTTTGAGTCCTAAGCTAGCGCCTGTGTGTTCGGAATAGTCTAATCTTATTAGTGGCTTGCTGGTTCTTTTGCAGAGAATAACTATCCCAGAAATTAAGAAGCATCCTTGGTTTATGAAGAACTTGCCTGTCGAATTCATGGAAGAAGGACGGAACGAGTGCATCGATGTAAATAACCCGAGACAGAGCATGAAAGAAGTATTGGCAGTAATACAGGAAGCAAGAATTGCTTTGCAGGTTCTAGCAAGTTCATCTCAAGGCATTATGGAAGAACTTGATGAATTAGATGATGCTGATATAGAAGATATTGAAACAAGTGGTGATTTTGTTTATTAATTGTAATGTGTGGACAATGGTGTTCACTTTACCAAAAGAAGTTTTGAGTCTATAATGATGTAAATACACTTCCAATGCCGGGGGCGGATTTAGAGTATCGACTATCTAAGTGTGGATTTTTGGGAACATAATAACTTTTGCGCATGACTATGTATTATATTGAGAAATAGAGTATATATAACAAGTACTATTTATTAATTGGAAGCCCGATAACAAATTAAGTAGTCTCTTAGTCCAATGACAGAAATGGAACCTACTTAAGGTTTGTTCTCTTCGATAAGGGTTTGATATCTCTTAGAAACTCATTAATACTGAATTCACACTTTTAAACTTTGAAATAAAAGAAATGAACATACGTTATTTTAACGTGAAAAATCTCTAGCTCATAGGTGCGCGCACGATTTAATCCAATTTCACTAAAATAAAGAGATTTAAAAGGATAGTAAATAGAATTTCATGTAGTAGCAAGTTGTTTAAAGTTTCACCCACCCAATAGGTAGTCCCCCCCAACCCCACTCACCATTCAAATTTTGAACCACTACTTCTAAAGAGTTAGAATTTAAATGATTTATCAACCATATAAATGAAACCTTGGACATAATAGACATGTCATTTGATTTGGTGCTCAACATTTTTTGTATGGACCAGTTTTTATTTTTATTTTTTTGGACAAGGCTGAAAGGGAGATTTAATTGTCTTGCAAGAGAGGGGGAAAAAAACTCAGAATAGAATTTGTTATTCACAAATCACATGTCTGGCGGATGCAGAGGTGTTGAGCCCCTTTGTTGAAAAGTCCTATAATGTAAATAGGACAAAGATGATTTTTTATTGGCACGTAGTTAGGGATGGCAATGGGTGGGGCGGGTTTAAGGTTATGCGGAGTGGGACGAGGTGGGTTGAAGTGGACTCTTTTTAGGGAAAATTATATGAAATAACAAACAATTAATTCAAATTAGATGATATAGCCATAGTTTATTTTATTTGTAATTCGCAGCAAGCATCCATTTTTTTGCCATCTGATTTGATATACAATTAGTCATTTTTGGTATACAATTAGCCATTTTATACATTTCGGTATAAATTGTGTTTGTGTTTGTATAAAACGAGAGAAAAGTGTATATACAAATACAAATACAAATACATATATTTTCGTCTTATACACTTATAATTATATAAATACAAATCTTATTATACAAATTACAATGTATAAATGAATTTATACAAAATTGAACAATTTGTATAAAATTTGATGTATCTAGTGAATTAAACAAATCAAAAGCTCCATAGCAAACATAAAATTTGCTATGGAGCGCAATTATGCAAACTATAGCTATAACATACAAATATGATTTCTATGTTTGCTATATGTGAAAGTTGTATTTTTTTTTTTAAGATTAACGCGGGGCGGGGCGGGACAGTTGCGGGTATATGTGATTTTATGTAGGTTTAAATTTATTTTTAATCTTTAAATGTTATAAGAGTGATAAAACATTATTAATTAAGATAATTTATTTAAGGCTATGAAAATATTTGAGATAATAAAGGAAAATGGTTCAATAAAAAATAATTTAATTTCTTACATGTTTTCCAATTGACCTCTAAAAAATAAAATTTCAAGTCACTATCCTATTAAATTAGTACAACTTAATGAAAAAATGAATTTATTTTTAGTATCAAACTTAACTAGAAAAGGAAAATATTAAAAAAAGTATGTGGGGCGGGTTCATGCCGAGCGGGTCTATGCGGGGCGGGTTGAAAATGAAAAAAAAATGTTATGCGGGGCGGGGCGGATTAAAAATTGAGAAAATTACGCGTATAAATAAACATATACTAATTAATTACTTAACATAGCTATAGTTTGCCTTAATTACAATTCGTGACTTACTTTTAGCTATAATTACGCAACTAAACTTTTTAGTTTTGTATAATTTGCACAGTATAATTCAGAATTTGTATAACTTTTGTATAATTCAGAATTTGTATAATATAATTTGTATAACTATTTACACTCTGATGTTTGTAATTATATAAATTCGTTATTTCGAGTTTATACAAAAATAACTGAATTATACATGATACCCGCTAATTATACAAATCTGCGAATTATACAAATGAGACAGCTTAAACTATAGCTACAACCCGTAAATTAAATATGCAAACTATAGCTAGAAAGTATAATTAAATTTATTATAATGGCTATTTGTGAAAGTTCCTCAAAAAAAAATTGCGGGTTAAGCTCAACCCACCCCACCCCACCCCTGCCCCGCACCACCTCATTGCCGTCCCTACTTATAGTATTAACTTGTTGAATTTCCTTTGCATACAATTGTTTCTTTAATCCCTGGTTCCTCCACTATACATACATACTCAACCAACATCGCTTGAAAAGTAATGCAAAATAAACATCAATTTACGATTGAAAATAAACATCTTAAAAGAATCCCACAATCCAAGACGAGCCAAACTCATTATTTACATGACAAAGTTGTTATAAAAATTACCACCTACATAAAATTATGCATACATCACTGAATATATACCAAAAAAAGTAACACTAATGTTACTCAAACTTGGTCTGGCAGGGTAGCATGTTTGGTTTTTGTAAATACACTTCCAATGTCGAGGACGGCTAGGGTTTTTGTATAAAAAAAATTTCACATTCTCTAGTTCATATTAAATGAACTGTTCGAATATGACACATTCTTTAAGAAAAATATTTGAGATATAATTTAAAAGTTACTTTCCGCTATTATCTTTTTGATTATTTATTAAACTATTCTCCTAAAAAATATAATATAGATAAAAATTAAAATATTTAAAAACTCATTAAATGAAAGATAACTATGATTTTTTTTAATCAATAATTCACTTAATTTGGACTAAACAGAGTATATATTTACATACCTTAATGGGTTGGACCTCCTTAATTTGTTGGAAAATAATATATTCTATAAATAGGGTAAAAGTTGTTTGTTTGTTGTGGTTGAATTTTCTTAGCATAAGAATTTTTTTTGTTATTCCTGGTTTCGCCTGCATACATTATCAACATGTCGACATCTTTAAAAAGTAATGCAAATTAAAACAAACATTAATTTATTAAGATCGATTGTAAATAAACATTTTAAAAGAACCCAATGACCCAAACACGTACACTAGCATAGTTGTAATACTAATAAATTAATTTAACATAAAATTCTGCATACATCACTAACTAAATGCATTTGGAAAGAATACAAATGACACTCAAACTTGGTCCGGTGGAGTAGCATATTTGGTTTTTGTAACCTTGTTGGTTTTATATTCTCCATAGAAATAAGAAGCAAAACCCCAAAGACACATAGTTAAAGCCATCCACTTATCAGAATTGAAGTTTTCAGGCAAGAAGATAACAACAAATATTTGTTGTATTGGAACAAGAAGTGCATTTATTATCCCTAACAATAGTGATGAGGAGCAGAAAATCATCCCTAGATTTCCAATCATCATAATTTGTAGAGATATTGCTGATAGTGCTAATATCATATAGTACTTGTTTTGCCCTAATCCAAATTCTTCAGCTTCTTTAGTGATGGCCTGCATGTTTTACAAAAAATACGACATGATATATTCGTCAGGTCATTCAAAAAGATATTTATAGACAAGCATTCTTACTATGTGAAATTTGTAATCTTGCAAATTAAATAAGACAGACTACCTGCTATAACATGTGAATTAAGGACATGATAGTTTTGTACGTGTTCTTTACATGTACAACATGGTGTATATGTCTTGAACTCTTAAAGAAAAAGTACTTCCTCAGTGTTAAGTATCTTAGGTTGACTCGAAAATCAAAAGAGATCATCTCTTAATATTGTGATCTTAAATTAGAGATATTGTTCTTTCTGGATGAGATGGATTACCTGAAAATCTTTGTAGATAATCATTGCGATGATACAAAACAAATTAAGCTGAGAACATGGATATAAGAAACTGCATTTGCATGACAAGATCAAAGGTGACAACAACTCCAGCTTTAACATGACTATATTCAACTCCTGCATTTATAAATCCATGAAGAGCCACACCAACAAGTGTCATCACAAACCCTAACGTGTATTGTTGATTCGATTCATTTAACGGACGATCTCCATTCATGTGTAGTCCTAATATTATCGACCCTAGCATCATCAACACCACTGCGTTCACGGAATAATCTGTGAACTTATGTTTCACCCTGAAATAAGCGAAAATTGCGGTGAATGCAAAGGACGTTGAAGAGAGGAGAGAGGAAATCAAAACAGGAAGATATGACATGCCAAAAGTGTAAAGGTAGCTACAAATACCAAGAAGGATGCCTAAAATAGCACTAGATATTGCTAATTTAGGTGTGACTAAAAGTCTATTATATATGAGTACTATTATTGGTAAACTTTTTTTTTTTATGACATAAGAAATTGAAATTGGTAAAATCAAGATTGGGAATCCTGCTGTACTTAGCAAAAAAGATTGCAACCATTTTCTTTTTCCACCATTTAAGTAGTAAATTCTAACAAGTAATACACCTGATATTTGGCCAATTGAAATGAATATACAATTTATGAGAATAAGAATTGACTTAATGGTCATGAAATTCTTGAGTTTCTTAGGCTTATAGTTGCCTTCTTGCTCTATTTTCATGTCCATATTTTTTTGTGATGTGTTTGAGAATTATTTGTGTGTATATATATTTATTAGTATTAGTAGTACTAGGTAGAGCTAGTGCAAGAAATGAGAGGCTCTCACCTATTGAGTGATACATATAGGCAAAAGAGGAAAAGTACTACTACTATATATTAATTTGACTTTATATGGGGGTGTATTGGGAGAAAAATGTTTTTATTATTTTCAGGCGTTTGATAGACGAAAATAATTTTTTTAAGAAAGTTTTTTTATATTTAATATTTTAATTAAATAATAAGTAATTACTTCTCATAAAAATTTACATTAATAATATAATTCTTCATGTAGTCATAACCCTTGAG